TGGGAGCGGGAGAGGCCACAGCACAGGGCAGCCCCAACCTCACCACCTCCCTCTTCTTCGTGCCAGGCTTTCCTCCTGCTGCTCAGGCTTGGGCTGCACGCCTCCATCCTGCCACGCCGGGCTGCCAGAAGACACTGGCCGGGGGGCTGCCACACGCCCCAGGCCCCCACCCCCCCGCCGCAGACCCCGGGGGTGGCAGCAAAGAGGACACCAGGAGCAGAGTCCCTTGTGTGGGACCTGACATGTCCTGTACCCTGTAGAGTGGGTGCTGCAGAGACCCCCCCTCAGCGGGATCAGGGGGCTGGGGGACACCCCCCTCCTTTCCTCTTGCAGAAGAATCTGCACCCAACCGCCGCAGCACGGCCCAAGGTCTCCATCCACGAACTTCATCCTGCGATGGCCTTTGCACCATGGCGTGGGCATGGGGCTGGGGGGGACTCAGCCGCACCACCCCGCACTGCATGCAAACTGACTCTCCACACAGCCCCCAAGGCCAAAACGATCCTTCCTGTGGCCAAAATGATCCTTCTTCCAGCTATCTTTCTAGCAAAATCCAAAAATGGGCGTATGGACGCTGTGCTCTAACAGCTCCCACTCATCCCTCTCGCGCAGTCAGCCCTTGCCACCCATCTCTGAGATGGAGAGCTGCACCTGAGCAGAGCTGCATCTCCCACCGCATCCCACCCCACCAGAGAAAACCATCCACCTACCTGCTGGAAGAGCTCCTCCGCCCACTGCTGTTGCTCTCGTCGGCCTAAGGGGGCAAAAGACATAAAAAAAAGAAGAATTTTTAGGTTAAGAAAGGCAAGACTGCCCTCCAAACTCTTCCTGCGAGTGCACGGCCCCCAAAATACCTGGGGTTTTTCCATTCTGAGTCACACGCACACCCCGTGCCCAGTGTCAGTGGGACACAACATGCACTGAAACCCAGGTCTGCAGGATTTCAGACACAGCCCCGCCACAGAAGCGACTTTCTGACTCGATTCCCTCCAGTTGCTCTTGTGAAATTATTTCATTGCACTTTACCGAACTTTAAAGTCATGATCCCTCTTATGCCAAAATATGCAATTTGCAGGAGGGAAATAAGGCAGAAATAGCCAAACTCAGCACTGTGTCCAAGCTGAGGTGGCCCCACTCCTGGATTAGAGGGGCAGGTCCAGCGCGCCTCCCTTCGTTAGTGATGAAGGGCCTAATTGAGCCCCTCCGGGCCCGCAGAAGGGGCTGAGCAGGGAGGAACCACGGTCTCCCCCTTTCTGCCTACTTCCCCTGCCTCTCTGGTGAGAGGCTTCCTTGGAAAGACAATATTATTCCAAACCCAGAAATTTTATTTCTGAATTTGTGCAAATACAAGTTAAAAAATATTAGCTGCATTTCACATTTTGTGCAAATGGCAGAAACAGGCAATTCATGTGCAGCAGGACGGGGGCTAGCCAACGATTTCGATAAAATAAACCCTTTTTTAATTTAAATGCTAATGCACTGAATTAAAATTTAATAACTGAGGAAATTGAAAAGCCGAGCAGGAATATTGGAAATAAATCCAAGCAGAAACAGCTGAAATTAAAAATTCTAGAGAGTGGGAGGATAGCAGCTAAGCTGTCTTATATGATTACATTTTTTTTTTTTTTTTTTTTTTCCAGAACGAAGGGGGGAAGGAAAAAAAAATCCTATCTTTGGCTGGCTGTAGGGCAGTAAATCGAGAGTGCTGTGATTTATTGCTCAATTTTCCTGAGGGAAAAAGGCTTTCTTTCATGCTGAAATATTTCATAAATTTCAAGCCGGCATAAATTCTTAATTTAAAAGTTATGGAGGTCACATTTAGTGCACTGGTGCAATTCTGAAATCTTAAAGGAATAGCAACCAAAAATTGCAATTTGATTTTATTTTATTAATTCTTCGTGTGAAATTTTGTTCAAAGGGATTCTCCAAGTTACACAAAGCCGAAACATGTCCTGGCTTCTGAAGGTTTAAGAAATCCACCGGAAAGTAAGAGATAAAAATCTAATTCAATTACAAAAAGTATATTATTATTATTATTATTATTATTATTATTATTACCACCCACTTGAGGAATTTCTGTTAAAAAATTTCCTCCCGACATTGCCTGGGAAAAGCCAGAAGGGAGGAGCTGCCAATGTAATTGCTTCTGTTAGATCTCCAATCTTTTGTGAGCACTGATATGTTCATTTGTTATACAGCTGTTCAGCTACAGAAAGGATGTCAGAGCACCCATAATTCAAAGCAATCAATCAAAAATTAATGATTTGTCATGCTTACACAATGAAAAAAAAAAAAAAAAAAGCTTTATGGGTTCCTGCAACTGGTAGATTGCTCAAGCCTTCGGGGCATTTTCTAGAAGATTAGATCTGTGTGTACAAAAAGAAGGGGGGGAAAAAAAGAAAAAAAAGGGAAAAAGGAGACTCAATATACAGCCAGGGCAGAAACCTTGTGGGGTGCTGAGTGCTCTCCGAGATCCCCCAGGGATGGGGTACGCTACAATCCCCATCCGTTCCAAGAGCTCTCTGCACCACCCAGCCTCGCAAGTCACCCTGCCGGTCACATTCCCCGATCGCAGAGACATTGCCCAGGCGCCCACAATTACAATTCCACCTAAAAAACGCCCGCAGAACATAAAGGTCGCCTGGACGAGTGCTCACGCAAGCCGCAAAATACAGACACCAAAGTCGAAGGCACAGCCTCGACTCTGCCTCCCCATCATCTGAGGGACCACTCCAGCCCCAGTGCCAAGTGTTACCTAAATATAACCAAAAATTAAAATATTTCCGTTTGGGAAGCCCATCGCCAACCTCAACTTTGGAAAACTGTCTAAGAGTGCAAAGTTATTCATCCCCCATGTAAGCAAGAACTTCTTCACACATAAATTCATTTTGGGAACGCGTTGTGCAGGGATCGTGCTCCCGAGGAAGCACACTGATGTCCCGATGCCGTATGTTATTGCTGGTTATATACACGTGCTAGCTGGAGCCTCTGACATGATTTACCACCCAACCTAGCGCAAGTATCACTCTGCGAAGAATCATGCACGTAATTCATTTTACGTTCCTTCTCGTATTTGTATTTGCAGTTGAGCGAATGAATTGCTGGAAATAAATGATCTGGTGACTGCAGCCTCTGCGACTCCTGACCACGGCATCTTCTGCAGCCAACACACAATTTTATTATTTACTTTTTATTTTGCTTACCTTCCCCATTCTGTGTGTGTCTGCCCTGACTGATTTCCCCTGCTTTTTTTTTAATTATTATTTTTTATAATGACTTGTTTTTGCTTTTTGACCTCTTTTCATCAGCAACTCATGTCCCCTCTCTCAGGATGTAGCACGTACCAGTGCAAAGGACAAGACGTGGATGAAGAGCACAGAAAGGGAGGTGCAGTGGTGTGACACCATAAGCACTAGGGAGTTCCTTTATTTTAAAAGAAAAAAAAAAAGAAAAAAAAAAGGAACCACAAGAGGTGAGAGCTCTCAATACAGATGGCTTCACACCAGCCAAGATGCTCTTGGAGAGGAGGCAACCCCTGGGCATCTCCCATGGAGGGAATACTGAAAAACCACCAACAGAGATGGGCAGAGCTGAAGCGGTTGTGGCTGCAAGCCCATGGCTGCCTTCTTAGTTTGGATCCATTAGACCTTACACAGCAAGCCAAGTCTGAATGAAATCAGATCTCAAAGGTTTCTGGATGCTTAAAAAAAGCCCGTCCTCACCAAAGGTGCCACCAGATACACCTTCACACACAGCACTCCAGCCCCCAAACATGCAATTAACCGGCCAATTTTCTGTGCCAGGAGTTCGTCTTGGTTACAAACTCACTAGGAACAGCTCTGTTTAGTTCAGCACTTGCACAGTGCCACGGACAGGGAATCCAGCCCGTCCTAAGGCTGCAAGATGATTTAATCATGAACCACCAGCACCCGCACTACCGAGACCACGGTGCGTCCAACCAAAGCGTGGGAAGATAATTTCCTCTGATGGCACACGGTATGCGAAGGGGAAAAAGAATAAAGAGGTTCCGTGGTGTTCTCCTCAAACTTTGCAAAATAAACACAGTTACAAGCTTAATAAAAAAGGAAGTATTTCAGCAAAGTCTATGTGAGTTGACTTAAGCGAGACATTCGATGTCCCTCAGCTCTCCATGGGAAGAGGCAGGGCCACTGTGGCGTGATGCCCAAGACCCCGTTAGGCATCTCCCACCCTCAGCAATCGCAAAGCAAGTCTCAAAAATAACCTCGCCACCAAAGACACCAAAGACTGGAATCGGCAGACGTGTCTTTGGCGCTTGGCCCAGCGGCAGCACCCGCTGTGCCGTGGGACGGGGCTGCCCAAGGAACCAGCCATCAGGCCCAGGTGGACCCCCTGGAGCAGCCTGGGCAACTGCCACCTCCGCAGAACATCTCCAGCCCACCACCCCACCCGAAAGGAGACCTCCTCCTCCCCCCCTGCCCTGCACGGGGCTCACCTCCAGCATGGGGAAAAACTGGACAATGTGTGCACGTCTTTTTTAAAATCTGGCTGAAATCAGCTTTTTTCCTTTTACTTTGCATTAAACCCATTTGGAATCAAATGTGAAGGGATGATGCCTTTTGCAGGCCACACTATTAATCCATTTAAAATAAAAGACTGCATTTAAATTCTGAGAAGTGGTATTTAAGGACTACAAATATCCTAAGCAAGTCAAAGCAGTGAATTGCTGGAAATCACCATTTAATCGCCAGCAACCAGAATGTGCCGAAATGGGTCAGAGCAGCTTTGAACAATGTAGCGTCTTTGGGAAGGGCAAGAGAAGTCTCCTGTGCACCGGTTTACTCAGGTAATTTAATTCGGTGACTTCTTCATTTATAATTGAAAAAGCAGAGTTTGCATCTGCCTGCCAGTCGGCGAGCAGGGGGGATGGACGCGGGGCTCCGAAACACAGCCTGGATAATTAGCCACACAATCTCTCACATAAAATAATTTACAATTCAAAATATGATTCCCTAAAGCTGCTTTTGTACGTATCGAGTGTGTTTAAGGTAGTTTTGTTTAACTAACGCTAATAAATATCTATTAAATTAAAATGCAAGAAAGCAGAATGTAGCTTCTGGCCATATGCTCCTCGACTCAAGTTGTAAGCGGAAAGTAAATCATGTGATAAATAAGAAATGTATCAGTCAACATCTCCTAACAGGATAAAGTGTCAAAAATTAGGAGTCCAAGCAGATGTATAACTGACCTAAGAAACGCGTGTTTGCAGACAGGGCTGCACTATATTGGGAAAAAAAACCCAACGCTTTAACAGCTACTGCAGAACAACAAAATAACTAAAAACCATAAAAATGTTAAATGAGATTTCGGAATATTTAAGCACGAGCTTTCTGCCTGATCACTTAAATGATGATTAAAAACAATTATTCAAATCACTTGGATTTGCATCCACGTACGCCATGCTCGGATCCACTCCCACTGGCATGATGCCCAACATGGGACCGGGGTGCCAGGACCCCCCCAGTCACCACCGCCAAAGCCCTCCCCAGGCGAAAAAGGTTTAAAATCCATTTATTTATTTGTATGAAGCCACCTCCCCCCCCCGGTGATTTGCCTCTGAGCTTCACCCCGGCTCTGCCGAGGGGAGATGCCCCTGATTCTGCTCTGGGTTTGCAGGAGGAGCAGCAGCTGCTCACCCCAGCTCCTCCCGCAGAGCAGGGGAAAACCAGGTTTACTCTCCAGATGCTTTGTAAAAGAGCTGAATTGTTTGG